TCTAAATTATTTTCTTGTGCAGCTAAATCAGCTTTAAAACGACGTTGTTCATTATCACGAAGTACACGATCACCATCAGTATCATAACGTGAAAAAACATTTTCAATTTCAACATCAGTATAACCACGAGCTTTTAAATTTCGACGCCATTCATCAAACTAATTTAAAATTTTGTTATTATTTTATTTCATATAAAAATAGAATACTTACTTCAATTACACCATCTTTATTTACATCAGCACTTTTTAATGCATTTTGTATATCAATAATACGCTAAAATAAATAACAATAACAAATATTTTATAATATACAAATCTGTGAACTTACATCTCGTTTAACATTTAATCGATCAAGCATTCTTTCATATGATTTTTTAAAATAATCACTTAATTCAAATTCAGATTTTTGTGTTGTCATATCACTTTTAACTTCAGAATATGTGTCATTAATAATAGCCAAAAACATATTCAATAATACAAAGAATACGAAAAATACATATGTTAAAAAGAATATTGGACCAAGAATACGATGAGCAGTTAAAATTGCTAAAACAAAAAGGAATATAAATAACTCAAAAAAAGAAAATAGAAATTTTTTTACTTTACCATTAAAATCAAAATCACCCAAAATAATACGAAATAGAGTAAAGCTAAAAAAAACAAATAATCATATACAAAACAAAAAACTGATTAAAATTAAAATTTACATCGAAATTGCAAATGTTTTATAATCATCAATCATTGTACCAAATAATAAATAACCTAATTGCGCATATGCCAAAAAAACAATCATAAACATAACACTAAAACCAAGTACATCTTTTGCACAACGTGATAATGTTGTCGATAATTGTGTCATTGTTTTATTGAATGACACATATTTGAAAATCTACATAATCATTGAAAACAAAAATTCATCATCGAATTATATAACAGAGCGTGGTCAAGACAATCTACTTTTGGACAAGTTGTTGCAATATTAGCTGAGTTAGCGTAACGTCGGTCATGCTGGCACAGCACTGACCAAGTGAATGCAACGTTGGCCATACTAGCACAGCGTTGGCCAAGTTGATGCAAGGTTGGCCACGCTGATGCAATGTTGGCCAAGTTGGCATAACCTTGACCACGCTGGGGCAACGTTGGTCAAATTGGCGCAGCGTTGGCCAAGTTGGCGTAACCTTGGCCACGCTGGCACAACATTG